ATTACTTTTAAACTGATCATAATGATAACATGAGTGAGTAATTAAATTTATAATGCTCTCTCTTCATTATAGTGCAATTTACTTAATTACTATAGTAATTATTATGAAAGGTAGAATTAAAGCTATTCATTAAAGTATATTTCATTTTTATTTGTAGGTCTTTCAAGGTTAACTCCAAGTCCCCATACAGATGCACAGCCTGTAATGTACTGTGAACCAGCATTTTGGTGCAGTATAAGCTACTATGAGCTTAATACAAGAGTTGGTGAGACTTTCCATGCAAGTCAACCTTCTATTACTGTTGATGGCTTCACTGATCCTAGTAATTCAGAAAGGTAAAATTAAAGATTGTTTGTCTTACTTTTATTGAAACTCAAAAAAGAATATAAAAGGAAAAATTTCAACAAAACGTATCTTTTAAATTACCATAGAGTAATTTTAGTATTTATATAATTTTCTTAAAACGTTTCCTTTTGAACTTTTTTTGGGCTGTAGGACGAAAGGATACCAAAACAAGACCTTGCTAATTTCCAAATTCTCAAATCTTTGGGGTCTGTTTAATCAATCATAATATTATGTTGTATGTATATTTATGAAACACTCTATCAACTACATATTTAATTTTCCTTTTCCATGTTTTCTCATTTTGTATTAATATTAGAATTAATAGTATTTATTTCAATAGGTTAAGTAATTAAAATTTATTCTCAACAGTTAATCAAAAGTAAATATCTTAAGTAATGTTCAAATTTTTGGCTTTTGCGTATTTGGTATATTTTGTTATTATTGAAGTTGAAACTGTCCCCCCTAAATGCGTGTTTATAGACAACCACAATATGATTTATTAGCCGTCACTCCTTTTTTTTGTGCTGGTTTTATTTTATTAATAAAATGATTATTTATTGTGTTTAGGTTTTGCCTGGGTCTTCTTTCAAATGTTAATAGAAATACAGTTGTGGAACAAACCAGACGTCACATTGGCAAGGGAGTTAGACTTTATTATATTGGTGGTGAAGTGTTTGCAGAATGTCTTAGTGACTCTAGTATTTTTGTGCAGTCGCCAAATTGTAATCAAAGATATGGATGGCATCCTGCTACAGTTTGCAAAATACCTCCAGGTACAACCCTGAAATTGAAGAATAGTTTAGAACGATAATAAATTTGTTTCAGGTTGTAATTTAAAAATTTTTAACAATCAAGAATTTGCTGCGTTGCTGTCACAGTCTGTGAGCCAAGGTTTTGAGGCAGTTTACCAATTAACGAGAATGTGCACTATTCGTATGTCTTTTGTTAAAGGTTGGGGTGCTGAATACAGGTAAGGACTGACTGTATACATTAGTAATTGAAATTGTGACAAATGGAAATTGTTTATAATTTAATGAAAACACATTTTTTATTGCCACATTGTATTTGATAATTACAGAAGACAAACGGTTACTTCCACGCCTTGTTGGATTGAATTACATTTAAATGGACCTCTTCAGTGGTTGGATCGAGTTTTAACTCAAATGGGGTCACCGCGTTTACCATGCAGCTCAATGTCGTAATTTATGAATATTTCTCAAATCACTTCGATTTCTTCCCAAAATATTTTTCGTGCGTATATTGATTTTCTGCCGTTTCAACTAGTATTTATGAAGTTATTACACTGAACCGTACAATTCGTTATTAATATTTTGGTCTCGGCTTGATCATCATTGAATTATTGTATTTTTATTTAATTGTTGTTTTTACAGAATTTTGCCCATTGATTGCCCTTTGAAATATTTTTTATTGTTTCAAAAAGGCGAAATTGAGATTTTTTTTGAAGTTTATAAAACGAGAATATGCGGTATGTATTACTTGTATGCTATTCATATTTAGTTTTGGGAACAGTATAAACATTTGTGATTTTTAAGTATGAATCAGGAGGGTACACGATTTTATGCATTTTGACAATTTAATTTTAAATGTTTTGTTAATTGTGAGCGTCTAAAGCCAACTTTACGGAGTGTGCAATTTTTAAACGGAAATTTTTTTTATCAGATTTATANTTTTGTTCTTGGGCTGTTGCTGTGGATTTGGCATGATGGGTGCAACTTTAATTTTTTTATTAGGGCTTATTGCTTCTTTTTTCGCATTTCCATAGATATCATGTAAAATTTTGGTTACTTCTTTATCTAAAACAGATAGTTTTTACTTTTCCATAGTTCTTTTACAGAATACATGTTCTATTACTATTAATAATAAAGTAGGTAAATTTTCGTTTATATTAAAAAAAAATTACCAAATTTTGGATCTCTAGATACAGAGCAATCCTTGTGGAGAAGGAAAACCTTTTTTAAAGCACTAACTTCAAATTTCAAATTTTGATTCTCCAACCACAAATTTTTATTTTCTTTCTTCAGGTAATCTAATTCATTTTCCATTTTTCTTATCCACTGCTTTTTTCTCTGGCGACTTCTAAATTGAGCTGCTCTGTTCATCTCTTTTCTATCCAAAGATTTTCTAGGTGCAAGGTGGTTTTGATCTATACTGTTACCAACATTTATTTCTTTTTTAGCTTGTCTTTCTCTGGGTTTTTGCAAAAAAACTTCACTATCAAATACAACAGATTGCTTAATTGTTTCAATCTTCAGTTCTATATTTTTCTGTGCAGTTATATCATAAACACTGCCATTGTTGTTTATTTTACCTTCTAAAGTTTCTCTTAATTTATTTTTAACATTATAATAAGAATTATTAGCAGATGTCTCATTTTGCTTATTGTTTCCTACACCTTCATTATCCTTACATAAAACATCGACATCATGATCGTCATTAATAACTAAACAGTCAGGAGATGGAGTGGATGATAAACGATCTAATTCTGATGTTTGAGCATTATCATTAGTTAAACAAGCTAACAATATACTCTCCACTTTGTCTCCAATTTCATCTTTGGATAGGTGTGATGTAAAAGATTCACCTTTTAAAATTTCTTTTTTATGGTTACTGTAAGTTGGAGTGTTTTCTTGAGGAGCAGGAACGTTAGGTGTATGCAAACTATCATCAGTTGAGGTCTCAGGAACATGTAACAAACCAGACTTGGCCAATTCTGCAGCTTTTTGAAAGGTTTCATCAAAAGGATTTACATTTTGTAAATCTTGAAACAGACCTACTTCTTCACAATTTCTTATAAATCTTGTTGGTGTAGGTGTCTCATCTACAAAGGAAGGCATATTTTCTTATTATTTAACTAAATGCATACAAATAGATACTAATACATAATCAGCAATGGCAGGTTGCTATGTTTTATGTGAAAATTAATTGCGCTCCTGCCTCTCATTTTTAAAAGTGAAATGCCATAAGACACCTCCACTACTACACTATATACATATAATGTCTAATATACTAGTGGATAAATTTTCAAGCGCAATTATACATTGCACACAGCCTAACAGCAAGCAAAGAATAATCATACTTTATGAATTAAGATTTACCTACTGCACTGCTCTGAGTTTCAATGCCTATATATAAACCAATATCATGTTTCTTCTCATGCACTCGTAGGTGATCTTCATTGGTGAATGTTTTAGTACAACCTGCTGAATTACAGCAAAACGGCCTAACAGTTTCACTCATTAAATATGATTACCTTTATGTGAAAATAAGCCTCAAAATAATTACTTAAAACAATGAAATACATCATTTTATAACAAGCTGTGGGTGCTTGTTCAAATTTGGAAATTTACAATTCTGGCTTGTAAGATTTGTTCAACAGAATTGTTTGTTCCATTATTTCTTTTTTATAATACCCAGGGTAATTGCAAATCAAATTTTAATCTGATTAGTGAATTATCTAAAAAAAATCGGTATTAATTAATTTTTCCTGTCAACTATTTTTTAAATGCTACAATGTGTTATCAATAGTTAATATTTACCATGCTTTTAGTATTTTTTATTTGTATTTTATGTTTATTATTCACAATAACAATAATAATTTGAACTGTTATGGTTACTACTTGTTATTTTCCAACTTTTTTGACAATTGCGATTGTCATGTAATTTATATTGTCTATCTTTGATGTAATCTATGGGTGCAATTGTCAAAAATCGTCATTAAATTCATATTAAATTACAATCTCGGTTGCCAATTCGTACGCATTATATCCACATTGAGTGTTACAATTATTTGTAAACGCGACTATGAATTCTTTGAAACAGGCTTAATTCGTAGCAAATAGTATTTCTAAAGTCTAAAACTGTTTCTGTTGCTTTTGTTGGAATTCTAAAATGTAAAAAGCATCAAGAAAATAATAACGTAGTGCATTTATTACTGCTCTTAATTTCAAATTAGGTAGACAGATGTGAGATCTGGCAACAATGAAGTATTATATTAAATAATAACAGTACTGTACTTTTAATTCTTTCCGGTAAACAGTATAAAAAAAATTGTAATAGGAAAGGCAAAACCTTTTGCTCACAATAATGAAATCGAAATAACTAATGACTTTGTTAACTGTTAACAATAATTTACAGTAGGATCATTCTCTGCCACATGCTTATTTTGCTATTTTACGGAATTACTGCTCCATATACATTATTCATTCGATTACTGATAATACAGAATGCAATTTAGGAAAATATAGTCAAATTAATGACAAAAAATATAAATGTGAGAAATATTATTAATAGGCGTCACGCATGCGTAAAAATCAATCGCAGCTACTCTGAAACTGTCGAATCCCACGTGCGAAAATGAAATGTTTAGCAAAGCGGATGTCGTTGATATACTCACAAACAAAAAATAAATCGCTTATCAAATTCAACATGGCGGTAGTGTTTGTGTTAGTGTTACATATTTTTCAATAAAAAATACAAGAAGTTGTATTTTTAAAGTTATAAACCAGTTCGTTTATGTTATTACTGTGATGAGTGGTATGTTGCCTTTTACGCCACCCATTGTTAAGCGGTTGCTAGGTTGGAAAAAAGGCAATGACACGGACGACAAATGGTGTGAAAAGGCAGTTAAGAGTTTAGCGAAGAAACTAAAAAAGACTGGTGCACTGGAAGAACTAGAACGAGCCATCTCATCGCAAAATCACAACACTAAATGTGTTACTATTTCTAGGTATGTCAACAAATCATTGTACCAAGTTTTCCACATTTTAAGGTCACATTATAGATTTGTTATGATTTCTTTCCCCTTTCCCCACTATGTCTGGATTTTGACCTACCTTAAATGTCTGGCTAATGTAAGACCAGTAAGATTGAAGTTTCTTTGTTACATAGGTATTCATATTTAAATTTTTTAGAATTTGTATAGAAATATCAGGTATTAGAACGACATAGTCATATTATTTGAATTTTTTTGTGGTTCTTAATGGAAAAGTCATACTTTTTTTTAATATATTTCTCTATAAAAAAATACACCGTACTTATTTTTCGGCTTTTATTTAGTATAAAACTAATTTTGGGTATATGTTTTTATAACTAGTATTTTATATGCAGGTTAAAATCAAGTGATTTAGGATCAAACGTACAACGCAAAGGATTGCCTAATGTAATTTACTGTAAATTGTGGAGGTGGCCTGAGTTACAATCACATCATGAACTAAGACCACTTGACAATTGTGAATTTGCCTTTTCTTTGAAAAAAGAAGAAATTTGTGTCAATCCATACCATTATACCAGAATAGAAACACCAGGTAGGAATTTATATGATTTCTTTTCAGGAACAACTGTAATAGTCATTTAGTTTTATTTTAATATTTCATGCTGCATTTTGTTTATTCTTGTAGCTCTACCAGCTATTCTAGTTCCCCGGCATGCATTAACAAATGAAGAATGTAACATATTTCCTCATTCTTTGGAAGATTTAAGCACCTCAGTACCAGAAAATACCTCATTTTCCAATATCAAGTATGCTTATATTAGGTCTATGCCTATGTTTGTGTCATATTAATGTTCTTACAGTTTACACATGCAGCACAGCCAAAGTTATATGGATGCAGTAGGCATTTGCTCAAATGGTCCACCTAACAGTCTTGAGTCTCCTCACAGTGCAGCTCCTCCAACTGAGACACCTCCACCCGGTTATATTTCAGAGGATGGTGATCCAATTGATCATAATGATAACATGAGTGAGTAATTAAATTTATAATGCTCTCTCTTCATTATAGTGCAATTTACTTAATTACTATAGTAATTATTATGAAAGGTAGAATTAAAGCTATTCATTAAAGTATATTTCATTTTTATTTGTAG